GGTGGGTGTACGTCAACACTGTCTCCTTCTTCTTTCAGTCCTATCACCAGAGATGACTTACTGTGGACCTTCTTGTGCTGTCCCATCCTGTGCTTCCGCCCCAGTCGTCGGACTTGGGTCAGCTGGATGTGGACCTTGGGGATACGGCTACAGAGGTCTCGGATATGGCTATGGAGCTGGAGCTGGAGCCCTGGCTGAAACTTCCAGAAGCCTGGGCACCCTGGCCGGAGTCGTCCCCTCCTGCATCAACCAGATCCCAGCATCTGAGGTGACCATCCAGCCCCCTTCAGTTGTAGTCACCCTCCCTGGTCCCATCCTCTCCGCCAGCTGTGAGCCCGTCGCTGTTGGAGGCCACACCCCATGTGCCTCCGGAGGTTACGGATCTTACGGTGGCTACTACGGAGGCCGCCTGGGACGTTTCAGTCGCCGAGGGAGCATCTGCTCTCTCCCCTGCAACCTCCCTTGTTAAGTTAACCCGGACTCTCCATGACCAAAACGGACTTCAGAAAGTTGGCTAAGGTGTGTCTGGCCCTTCCACGGGCCTGCATTTAGCTCTCACAGCTCTCTTCTGTCTACTCTAAAGTCACCCCACCGCTTGTATCCTCCTTTGATATTCCAACAAGCATTAGAACTGTGCCTTCCTGTAAAATTAGCCCTCTGCCAAATTGATCAGTCAGGGACTTCACGTGAAGTTTTGAACGAACGACGCTCTCCAAACATCTGGGGCCTCGTCTCCTCTTGGCAGCTCTACCATTATTTGTCTAAAAGGGAGACATTCATTTCTCGGCACTATTTGGAATCCTCGATGGCTCCTTCCCATGTTCTTTCTTTGCACTTGAATAAAAAAATCATTCTGCTTTGCAAACTAATGTTTCTCCTTGGTTGTCATTTGAAGATGGGCCAACTCTTCTCTTGGGGGCCATGGAGGTTTTCTCCACGGAGCCTGGGTGGGGTAGGGGTGGAAAGAGAAGGGCGGCCAAGGTTCCCCTGCTGATGTATAAGCCATGGTGGGAGAAGCAGATCATTGATTGGGTTTGTCCATGTCAACTGGGCCAGGTCTTGGTCAAAGCTTCTAGAAGGCTGTAGGAAGTGAGCACCTACCTCTCTCCTAGAAAAATGAAATATTAATTTCTAGGAGATATTAAAAAGGCAGACTATTATACCTTCCTGGATGAGAAAAGGAGAAACATGCTCTTGGAAAGCGGCCCCCACCTTTGTTAATAGCCCCAGAAAGACAAAAGACATCTTATCTACAACACAAAAGACCTTCAGCTCCAGGGTGATGGGATTAAGACATGGCCCTCAGGACATGATAGGATTAGCCCTCTACCCATCTCACTACATGGCACCTGGGAAGACTACATCACCTAGGAAGGCTCAACCAAGCTTGGGACTCAGGACAGCCTACAGAGTTGCCTCTGCATGGCCCCATGGGAGTCTGACAACCAATCAGAATACAAGCTCAAATTCAAAAGCCCAGAGAGAGTATAAAACTCAGGCACTCTCAGCATCTCTGCCCCTTTTTTCCCTCTACGCCCAACAACATCAAGGCATGTGATCCTCCTGTCCATCATTAAAACCATCTTTCCAAGCAACTTCCATGAATCCAGTGTCTTTTCCCCCACTTGGAACTGAACCCAGATGGACATTTCTTCCAACAAGGCTAACACAGTTCTGCTTCTCCTCCTCTGTTTTGACTCCCCACTTGGAGAACATTCTGGACACCACATCTCCAGAAGGATGTTTAGCCTGGAGACAGTTCAGAAGAAGGTGACAAAGAGGATACGGGGGCTTGAGGCCAGGGGTGAAATGCTCCCGGTTCGGACCGGATCGTGCGATCCGGTAGCGATGGTGACGGGTGGTTCGGAGAACCGGTAGCAAAAATCCCTGCGCCCCGCCTCCCCATGAGCTGCGCGATCATCAGAGGCTGTTTTGTTTTTTTTTTACTTTTAAAAGCCTCTGATGATTTCATGGCTCAGCTGGGATCGTCAGAGGCTTTTAAAAGCATTTTTTTCTACAACCTCTTCGGCTGAATTCATGCTAAAGGTTATCCAGCTAAGTATTGACTGACATGGTGACAATTTCTGCATATCTTGTTTTTTTCTACGTGTTTCCCTTTTCTTCTTTATACCGTCACTGCTATTCTAATAGCAAATCCTTCCTAAAAGTTATTGCATTACATTCTTTGATTAAATTATCTTTCCATTGATATATAATTTTATGGTAGTACTCCAAAAAAAAAAAAAAAAAAGTGGTGTTATTAGCTAGTTTTAGAAAATACACTTTTCCCAAAAAAGTTTCCACAATTTTGGCCACTACTGTATATAGTCCTCCAAAACATGAATGAGTTGAATTCTCAAAAGAGGGTTTGGGACCTTCATGGAAAAAAACTGGTCTGCCAAAACGGATGAAACTGGTCCCACAGTGCCTCCTTGTGGACATTGTAACTCAAAACACACAAGGTCTAGACTAAAAATAGAAAATAATTCTCCTTACTCCAAGCTACTGGTGGAAGAACCCTCTTGGTGGAGAAACCACATTTCCACAATATCTTAGCTTAGTCAAGGAATGATGTAGCTGCTACGTTTGTGTAAGAAGCTAAGCTTTGTTAGAACAGCTGGATAAACAGCGTCCGGAAGAAGGTTCTGGAGTTCATGGAATGTTCTGGAGTTCCCAGGAAGGTTAATAGAATAAGAGAGTTAGAAGGGACATTTGGAGGTCTTCTAGTCTAACCCCCTTCTCAAACAAGAGACCTTCGGCCCTTCTGTGTAGGCCAGGTGTTGTGGTTCCTTTGAATGAGGAAATGAATGAATGAGTAATTGAATGAATGAATGGATGGATGGATGGATGGATGGATGGAAGACAATAATGAGACAAGCACTGATGATGTTACCTACTTTGGTAATGAAATGTCTGTAGGAAAGCAACCAAGCTCAAAGAGCATCAAGGATACCCTCCTCCTCCTCCTCCTCCTCCTCCTCCTCCTCCTCCTCCTCCTCCTATACCAGAGAAGATGGTATACTCTGGTGATGGGCCATTAAATTGCTTTAAAAGGGAAGTAGATACCACCGTGAAGGAGAAGGCTACCATGAGCTATTAGTCTTGACAATTCAATGTTAGCTTCAGACATGGGGAACTATGGCAGCATGAAAGGGACACGCCTGCAGAAACAACGGATGGAAACAAACAATGGATGGAGAAACAATGGATGGAAACTAACAACAGATGGAGAAAGAATGGATGGAAACTAACCATGGAGAGAAGGAACCTAGAACTAAGGAGAAATTCCCTACAGGTGAGAGCCTTCAATGGAATCCAAAGTGCCTTTTCATTTTTTTCCAAGATTTATTTATTTATTTATTTATTTATTTATTTATTTATTTATTTATTTATTTATTTTTACAAACATATCAAATCAATGCGTGGGCAGGGTGGCACCTGGGTGTCATTACATTCTAATACAAAATAAAACTAGTAGAATTAATCCTAGTGATTGCATTCAATCAACTTACACGTTTTTGATAATGATACACATTTATGTTAAGTTGCAATCTTAACAGTGTTCAATTCTTCTATGTTTTCTCTTGTTCCTACCGTATTTTTCAGAGTATAAGATGCACCTTCCCCCACCCCCAAAAGAGGCTGAAAATTTGGGTGTGTCTTATACTCCGAACGCAGCTTTTTTGAAGCTTTTTTTCAGCCCTAACGAGGCGCTAGGAAGTGAAGCTATCTTCCCAGCTTTGCCTGCTCCCTTGACTCTCCGCTGTACTTTAAGGAAGTGCTAGCTGAGTGACGTGATCTCCATGCTTTGCTCCAATTCTCAGCTGTTCTTTAGAAGCTTTTTTTTTTCAGCCCTAACTAGGCGTTAGCTGAGTGAAGCGATCTCCCCCTGTGCTTTGCCTGCTTTTCTCATTGCTGCTTCCTCTCAGCTATGCCATAGAAGCTGTTTTTTTATTCCCAAAAAAGGGATAAAAAACCAGCAAACGAATGTGCTGAAGCTGACCAGACTAGCCAGATGAATACCTGGTAGGCAGAATTTTTTTCCCCTCCTATTTTCCACCCCAAAAACTAAGCTGCGTCTTATACTCCAAAAAATACGGCACTTTTATTTTAATATATAAAAGTGTATGCACTAATATTCCCCCTTCTCTTATTTCTATCACTTATTTTAACTTTTAATCATGTCACCCTTTATTAAAAGACTTTTTCTTTCTATCCTACCTAACTTCTATTCATGTCACCTACCTTAAAAAAAGAAAAGAAGGAAAGAGGAGAGGAGAAGCAAATCCGAACAACAGCATAAAAGATAAATCATCTATCCATCATCTCTTGCCCGCTTCAATACTTTAATTGCTATGCTTTTTTTTGACTTGCCTCCCAAATTCCTCTCTTGGATCTTTGTCTGCATCTGCTTCTTGGCTGTTGAGTCTAGATATTTCTCTCACCTCTACCCTTTTCCACTGCCTAGTTTACAAAATTTCTGCCCAGGCCCCTATCTCCCTTTCAAACGTATCTTCCAACTCTCAAAAGTGCTTTTTCAAGAGGCAACTGGACCTTCTGGTTTTTCTTTGAAGACATTTCACTTCTCATCCCAGAAGCTTCTTCAGCTCTCTGAGAATCTCCATAGACAACCAATGGAACAGCTTGCCTTCAGAAGTTGTGCGTACTCCATCACTGGAGGCTTTCAAAAAGAGACTGGACATCCATTTATCTGTAATGATATAGGGTCTCCTGCTCGAGCAGAGGGTTGGACTAGAAGACCTCCAAAGTCCCTTCCAACTCTATTATTCTATCTTCTATTCTATATTCTGTGACATCAATTTGCAAGTACCATAAAGGTTGACCTCGGGCAGAAACCAACTGTTGGACTAAGAAGGATTTTGAGTTGGTTCATCTGAGCTCTTCTTAGGTTCTTTGGATTGTCTGAAGGCAGACATGGCTTTGATTCACTGCACCCCGTGCTACAGAGGCTGGAGATCAGAGGAAGACAGAGACGTGGGTTCAAATGATTCACATTTCATTTTATTGGAAAACAGAGAGAAGCTACATTAAGAGACACGCAAGAGCTGGTGAAGGTATGTTTTATATATAACATATATATATATATATATGCAAAGGGGGTGGGAACCTGAGCATTTTAAAGCAAAGGTGGGCGAAACCAACAAGAGGAGTGAGTCCAAAACCGTTGTAGTATCAAAGGGGGGTCTTCGATGCCAATGTCATCCATTTACAGGCAGATGCTACCACGACGGCTCAGACAGATGCTTCCTCTACGGTTCCATGGGTACCTTTTCCCAAGAAGACCTCCGTAACCCCTGAAGCCAAGACCTCCATAGCCCCAGCTGCCTCTCAGCCCAGAACCACCAACGGCACATGGGGTGTTGCCTCCAACAGCGACGGGTTCACAGCTGGCGGACAGGATGGCACCAGGGATGGTCACCACAGAAGAAGGAGGCTGGATGGTCACCTCAGATGTTGGGATCTGGTTGATGCAGGAAGGGATGACTCCGGCCAGGGTTCCCAGGCTTCTAGAAGATTCAGCCCATCCACCAGGGTGGTAGCCGTAGCCCAAGCCATAGCCGTAGCCGTAGCCCAAACCAGAGCCATAGCCATAGCCCAGACCGGAGCCCAGACCCCAACCAAGACCTCTGGAACCACATGATCCAAAGCCAACAACTGGGGCAGAGGCACAGGAAGGCACAGCACAAGCGGGTCCACAGTAGGCCATTGTGGTGAGTTGTGAAGTGAGTCTAGTATTAAAAGAAAATGGAGAGACATCATTAGAATTGCATTCCATTCAGTTTCCCCATTCCATCTCCCGTCTCTTCCTACAACCAGCAAATACTTCAACAAGTTTAACTAGAACTGAGTCGAGCTAACTGATCTTCTCAAGTTAGGCTTCTCCAACATAAAAATAGCCCAGAGAAGATTCACTACGGTGGGCCATGAAATTTGGAAGGGAGATCTGGAAAACCAACCCTTGTTTTTATTTAAAAGGGAGAAGAAAAAAAAAAGAATCGAAGAAAAGACTTAAGACTTCCCTCAACTTCTCCTCATTTTGGAAGCCCACTTTGGACCCAACATGATGGTCCTTGACCAAATGACTTCTTCTGACTACAGTGAGAAGTCAAAAGAAAAAAAGTTCTAGAGGAAATCAGAGGTAATCTGCTTCTTTAACCCTGCCAAAAAAAATTAAATGCATGGTTGAAGTCATCACAACTCAACTCATTCTAGCCTCTGATGAGGTCCAAATCTTGCAGAATCTCAGATTCTGGCTTGAAGATCTACCTCAGATATCTCAAAAAGACTGGATTGCTTTTGTACCCCCCTCCCTCCCCTCCTCCTTCCCTCCCTCTCTCTCCCTTCCTTCCCCACTCTCCACCTTTCTCCCCTCTCTCTCCCTCCCTTTGACACTCTCTTTTTCTCCCTTTCTCTCCAAACCCTGACCTCTATCTTCTGAAACTCAAAATGAAGCCTTCCTACTCCTTCAAATAGAACGCTGGAAGCTAGTTCTGAAAGCAGAAGCATTCTAGCCTCTGATGAGGTCCAAATCTCACAGAATCTCAGATTCTGGCTTGAAGATCTATCTCATCTGCTTGCAACCAGGAGGGATTCTCTCTGAGTCTTACCTGCTTCGGAGTGAAGTAGTGAAGATAGGAGAGTCAACCAGAAGCTGATGGCACTGCAGAGAGCAGAGAGGGCTTTTATACGATTCGGATGGCGTCCCCAGGAAGTTGGGACTCGTAAAACTTCATTTGGCTTCCAACAATTTTCTTTTCCGGCATTTAAAAGGGGGAAAAAAAAGGACTTCACTCAGCACAAACTGTCATATCGCCATTGTGAGGCACAATAATCATGTCACCGTAAATAAAATAAAACTATTTCTTTTGCGCTCCCTTTCAAGTTTGTTGACCTCAAGGCAAATGTTTCTGTTTATCTGATCGTGGAAGTGAGCAACACCCACAGGTGGAGAGGAAGATCAAAGCTGGATTGTTGTCCTCAGTAGCAACTCCTCAAAAAACAAAAAATGGCAACTTTTCCTTGAATCAGCACAGAGACTCACAGATAACTTTGAGTTCAAGGTGGAGAGCTTGTCACCCTGCAGCTATCCTTGAATCTACCCAATACATGGGAAAATGGGAAAAGTAACATTCCCAAGGTCTTGTTCAAAACTAGCAAGCCAAACTCACTTTGGACCTGAGACCTCCTGCTCTGGGTTGAATCTACTCTGCAGTAACGTCTGGAGGATAAAGCATCCTGAAGATCCCATCACCATTAGAACGTCAGCTCCAGAACCTCAAGTGTTCAACCTTCTCCATGATGGTCTTCATTCCAAAGCTCAAACATTTCAACCAACCCAACTTTAGTAAGCTTTCCATGAAAAAATCTAAGAGTTCTAGAGCACATATAGAATAGAATAGAGTAGATTAGAGTAGAGTAGAGTAGAGTAGAGTAGAGTAGAATAGAATAGAATAGAATAGAATAGAATAGAATAGAATAGAATAGAATAGAATAGAATAGAATAGAATAGAATAGAATAGAATAGAATAGAATAGAATAGAATTCTTTATTGGCCAAGTGTGATTGGACACACAAGGAATTTGTCTTGGTGCATATGCTCTCAGTGTACATAAAAAGACAAGATACATTCGTCAAGAATCATAAGGTACAACACTTAATGATAGTCATAGGGTACAAATAAGCAATCAGGAAACAATCAATATCAATTGTAAGGATACAAGCATCAAAGTTACAGTCATGCAGTCATAAGTGGGAGGAGATGAGTGATAGGAACGATGAGAAGACTAATAGTAATAGTCATGCAGACTTAGTGAATAGTTTTACAGTGTGGAGGGAATTATTTGTTTAGCAGAATGATGGCATTCAGGAAAAAACTGTTCTTGTGTCTAGTTGTTCTGATGTTCTCTATAGTGTCATTTTGAGGGTAGAAGTTGAAACAATTTATGTCCAAGATATGAGGGGTCTGTAAATATTTTCACAACCCTCTTTTTGACTCGTGCAGTAGACAGGTCCTCCATGGAAGGCAGGTTGGTAGCCATTGTTTTTTCTGCATTCTAATGATCCTCCGAAGTCTGTGTCTGTCTTGTTGGGTTGGAGAACCAAACCAGACAGTTATGGAGGTGCAGATGACAGACTCAATGATTCCTCTGCAGAACTGTTATCAGCAGTTTGAGCTTTCTGAGTTGGCGCAGAAAGAACATTCTTTGTTGTGCTTTTTTGAGGACGTTTTTGATGTTAGGTGTCCATTTTAGGTCTTGCGATATGGTAGAACCTAGAAATTTGAAGGTCTCTACTGTTGATACCATGTTGTCTAGTATTGTAAGAGGCGGTAGTATGGGAGGGTTTCTCCTAAAGTCTACCACCATTTTTACGGTTTTGAGTGTGTTCAGTTCCAGATTGTTCTGGTCGCACCACGAGGTTAATTGTTCAACCTTCCATCTGTATGCAGATTCATCGTTGTCTCGAATGAGACCAATCACTGTTGTATCCTCTGCAAACTTCAGTAGTTTAACAGATGGATCGTTTGAGATGCAGTCATCGGTATAGAGAGAGAAGAGACGTGGAGAGAGCACACAGCCTTGGGGGGGCCCTGTGCTAATTGTACAGATCCACCTGGGGTAGACCAGGTGTCTCGATAGACAACCACTTGATATATATATATAATTTTTATTCATAAACATTTTTGAAAAACAGTGCATTGTCCGAGTATACCATTTACAAGTAAGAAAAACCCAAAGGAAAGTTAATAGTAAATATTAACACTCAAACTAATAACAATAGTAATAATATAGTAGCAGTAATAATAATATCACCAAAAAGCTTAAACTAAATTTCTTCCTACAATAGTTTATTTACATTTTTATTGATTACGAGCCATTCATAAAATTTATTCCACGTCCGATAGTATTCTGAGCCTTCTTTATCTTTCATTTTTAACGTTAATCTGTCCATTTCGGCACAGTCCCAAATTTTTTGGATTACTACCTCTTCTGATGGGGTGTTCACATTTTTCCAGTATTTAGCATAGATACTCCTTGCTGCTGTCAATAAATGTAGCACTCAGTACATCTCATAGCCCTCCGATAATATACCTACGATTCTTAATAACTGCTCCTGATGCAACAGGCAGGAAGAGAAAGAAGAAACGTCAGTAGCAATTGAATAATTGAATGAAATTTTGACACTTGAAATTGTAAACAGGGTGTATGAATGCAGCTTGCGTTCAGTAGGCATCAAGTGCATTTACCTCTGCGGAAAGAACAAAAGAAGAAAAGAGGAAGCAAAGATAAGATCAGAATGACAACTGTGTCGCATGAGGCTGACAAAACGCCAAGTCTTCAATTCATAAGTTTATTTCACCTTATTAAAGTAATTTGGAGTAAAAGAGATGAGTCTGTGTACAAGCATCTCGTTAATGAAACCCTGGAGCCAAAAGGGGCGTCTCTAAGATAGCGGTGAGGACAGAAAAACAGTATAAAAGAGCTTCTCGTGCTGAGACCTTCCATCAGCTTCATCTCCTCCTCTTGACTGCTTCCTTAAGAGTCTCTCTGGTAAGTCCCTTGCATCTCAGATGCCTTTTTAGGCTGTTATGGCTCTTTGTGTTGTGAATTGGGGTGGGAAGGAAGGAAGGAAGGAAGGAAGGAAGGAAGGAAGGAAGGAAGGAAGGAAGGGATAGGAATGGAGGACAGAGAGAAGGGAGGAAGATTAGAGGGAAGGAAGGAAGGGGATAAGAATGGAGGGGAGGATTAGAAGGAAGGAAGGAATAAGGATGGAAGAGAAAGAGAAGGAAGGAAAGGAGTGAGGAAGGAAGGAGGGATAGAGGAGAAAGAGAAGTAAGAGAGGAAAGGAGAGAGGGAATAAGGAAGGAAGGGAGGGAATAGGGAGGGAGGAGAAAGGGAAGGGAAGGGAAAGGAAAGGAGGGAGGGAGGAAGAAGGGGATAGGAATGGAGGAGAGAGCGAAGGGAGGAAGATTAGAAGGAAGGAAGGAATAAGGATGGGAGAGAAAGAGAAGGAAGGAAAGGAGTGAGGAAGGAAGGAAGGAAATAGGAATAGAGGAGAAAGAGAAGTAAGAGAGGAAGGGAGAGAAGGCGAGAGGGAATAAGGAAGGGAGGGAGGGAATAGGGAGGGAGGAGAAAGGGAAGGGAAAGGAGGGAGGGAGGGAGGGAGGGAGGGAGGGAGGAAGGAAGGAAGGAAGGAAGGAAGGAAGGAAGGAAGGAAGGAAGGAAGGAAGGAAGGAAGGAAGGAAGGAAGGATTTCAAACAATTCTGCCTCTTCTTAGGAAGAGCCTAGTGAAATGTTTCATTCTGACCTTAAAGCAGTCTTCAGAAAACATGCTTGATCTCAGAATGATACACCTGCTTACCGTGTTTCCCCAAAAATAAGACCCTGTCTTATATTTTTTTGAACCCTGAAATAAGCGCTTGGCCTTATTGCCATGCACTCAAAACCCCGATTGGGCTTATTATCAGGGGATGCCTTATTTGGGGAGAAACAGAGTATATTTCATTTGAATATTAGCAAAAACTTCCAGATTGGTGCAACTGTGGAACAGACGTCTTAGGGTCCTTCCATCAAGATGGGAAGTCACTGTCCAATAAAAGAGGTCCACTTTGTGATCCACCGAACGGCAGGCTAAACATCGTTGCAGGATTCCTGACGATGTTGTTGTAAAAAGTGCCTTGTGGCCGATCCTCAGACTTATCATAAGTCATGTGATCAATATTTGGGTGCTTGGCAGCTAGATGTATTTATGGCAGAATCAGTTGTGGCCGTACGTTGAAGGCCACCTATCCATGATATTAGGAAGAGTCTTCTTGTTTTTTCTCATGCTGTGTGTGAATCACAAAACCCATGCTTCTTCTTCTTCTTCTTCCAACAGCTCATCCATCCAGCCATGGCTTACTGTGGACCTTCTTGTGCTGTCCCCTCTTGCGCCTCTGCCCCAGTTGTTGGCTTCGGATCAGCTGGTTCCAGAGGTCTTGGTTGGGGTTGGGGTCAGGGCTACGGTTTGGGCTACGGCTTGGGTTATGGCCGTGGTTTGGGCTACGGCTACGGAGCTGGCGCCTTGGCTGAAAGCTCAAGAAACCTGGGCACCTTGGCCGGAGTCGTCCCCTCCTGCATCAACCAGATCCCAGCATCCGAGGTGACCATCCAGCCACCTGCAGTTGTGGTCACCCTCCCTGGTCCCATCCTCTCCGCCAGCTGTGAGCCCGTCGCCGTCGGAGGCCAAACCCCATGTGCCCCCGGAGGTATCGGACGCTTCGGTGCCGGTTACTACGGAGGCCGCCTGGGACATCTCGGACGCCGTGGCAGCATCTGCTCTCTCGGCCGCCGAGGTAGCATCTGCAACCTCCCCTGTTAAGTTAACCCGGACTCTCCATGACCAAGAACGGATTTGAGAAAACCGGCTGAGCCCTTTTCTGGGCTGCCTGTGGCTTTTATGACTCTCTTCTTTCTACCCCGTTGCTCTCCTGCGATTCCAACAACCATTAGCACAAATTAGCCTCCTCCTAAATCGATCGGCCCAGAGCTTCACGCGAAGTTTGAAGGAAAGAAGCTCAGCCAACATCTAAGGACAACTCGTGTCCTCTCCGACACATGAAATTATTTGTCAAAGAAAATATGTCCCTTGCTTTGGACTGCTTGGAAGACCTCATGATTTATTCCCAATGTTCATTCTTTGCCCCTTAATAAATGTGACTCTGCATGATAAACCTTTGGCTCTCGTGTGGTTGCAATTAAAAGACGGGGAAATCTCTTCTCTTGGGTGACCGTGGAGGTTTTCTGGGTTGGGTGGGTAGGGGTGGAAAGTGAAAGCTGGCCACGTTTTTCTCTGCTGAGGTATAAACCATGATGGGTGAAGCAGATCATGGGTTGTGTGATTGTGTGAAATGGTCTGAACCATTTTTTTCCCAATCGGAAGGCCTGAGTTCATACAATAGTTTCAGCCAGTATTAAACAAGCCACATTTTCCTCTCCCTTCCTTCCTTCTCCTCATTCCCATCCCTTTCCTTCCTTCGTTCGTTCCTTCGTTCGTTCGTTCCTTCCTCCCTCCCTCCCTTCCTTCCTTCTATCGTCTTCCTTCTTTCTCCTCATTCCCATCTCCTTCCTTCCTTCTTTCCTTCCTTCTCCTCATTCCCATCACCTTCCTTCCTTCCTTCCTTCCTTCCTTCCTTCCTTCCTTCCTTCCTTCCTTCCTTCCATCATCTTCCTCCTTTCTCCTCATTCCCATCTCCTTCCTTCCTTCCTCCCTCCCTCCCTCCCTTTCTTCCTTCTATCATCTTCCTTCTTTCTCCTCATTCCCATCACCTTCCTTCCTTCCTTCCTTCCTTCCTTCCGTCCTTCCTTCCTTCCTTCTATCATCTTCCTTCCTTCTCCTCATTCCCATCTCCTTCCTTCCTTCCTTCCTTCTTCCTTCCCTCTCTTCCTCTTCCCTCTCTCTTCCTCCCTCTCTCCCTCCATACCTCCTCCTTTTATCTTTCTTTCATCCTCCCTTCTCTTTCATATTTCATTCATGCTTATAAAAGGCCTGCCTTGAAATCAGCTGATACCCTCATCACTATTTTAAAACTCAGCAATGTATTGGCTTCACTGGCTGCAAAAATCTTCATCCTTTTGACAACAAAGCCTTTTGCTGCCCCTTAATGGACTCAAGCTGCCAAGTCAACTTCCTATAAACCATTATACACTTTCAAAGTTTATTTAAAAGGGGGAGGAAAATGTTTTGACCCGAAGTTCAACAATTTGGTGCTGCAGAAGGAAAACTCACACCAATGTCATCATTCATTGATTATCTCCATTTTAAAAATATCCCAATACAGCTCTGTGAATTGATTTCCCATCAAAGCAATATTTTTTAAAAAGCCAATCCGTATTGAGTATTGAGCGGTGGCTCAGCGGCTAAGACGCTGAGCTTGTCGATCGAAAGGTCGGCAGTTCAGTGGTTCGAATCCCTGGTGCCGCGTAACGGGGTGAGCTCCCGTGACTTGTCCCAGCTTCTGCCAACCTAGCAGTTCGAAAGCACGTAAAAAAAAATGCAAGTAGAAAAATAGGGACCCCCTTTGGTGGGAAAGGAACAGTGTTTTCCATGCGCCTTTGGCATTGAGTCATGCCGGCCACAGGACCACGGAGACGTCTTCGGACAGCGCTGGCTCTTTGGCTTTGAAACAGAGATGAGCACCGCCCCCTAGAGTCGGGAACAACCAGCACGTAAGTGCGAGGGGAACCTTTACCTTGATTGAGTTAATTTTCTTCTTTTTAAAATCACCAGTACAATAAAATGTTCAAATAATCTACCAATTCTTTAAAAGGAAATTGTACCTGGATTCATAGACCACCCTACACTCAATTTCTTTTAACCAGAGTTTGTTGACTAAGCCAAAACCAATCATAGTTTACAGATCCCAATGGGTAAATTCTCAAATATTCCTGTGTCCTTAATTTTTTTTCCCCCTTCTCTTTCATTTTCTTCCTCCTTCTGAAGGGATAAGTACCAACCACAAATCCTATTAGGGATGAAAGATTCCCTAATTCTCCTTTTATATATATCCCCCCCCCCCTTTTATTATCAAATTTTCTCTGTGTTAAGAAGATCAGCAAAAGACTTAAAGAGCTGCAGTGACACAAAACACAAAATTTTTACTGTGTTTAGTGTGTTGGGCTGTGTGCTTAAGCAGGGTAGGTGAAACTATCTCACTGAATCTACCATGCCGAGCTAGAAAAAAAATGGGTTCCTTCGGAAAGCCTTATGTGAATGTAGCCTCTGAGTATGTCAAGAGGGCCAAAGACGAAGAAAAAAGAGGGCTGGAAAGAGGAGCTGGAGAGAAGAGAAACTAGAACAAGAGTGAAAAAGTGGGAAGGTTATGTAATTTCTTCTCCATCTTGATCTTTCCTCCACTTGTCCATCATTTTTGATGAGGTACTAGAGGATCTTCTAGTGGCAAGGAGGTCCACAGGGTAGGGAAAGTTTAGGGATTGGCTGCTAAGTCCAACACATCAAACTTGGTTTATTTATTTATTTATTTATTTGAATAAGTGGCTAGTTTCTTTTTGACATATTATTTGAAGCAGGAAGAACGAGTTAATTTCTTTAGCGCGTTGGCCAAAGCCAACAAGTGATTCTTCTAAAGAAGAAGTCGAAGACCAATTACGATGCCAAGGAAATTTTTATTAAGAAAGAGTGTGAACAAACGGCAGCCAACAGGTTTTTGCGCAGATGAAGGACAAGAAAACAAGCAAACCACTTTTGCCTTTACAAATCTGTCGGGTTGAGAATGGGAGACAATTCATATCTGTAGAACATTCTGCATTGTCTCCATGGTAATTCAGCTCCAATTCAACGGAAAGGATTATTTTGAAAGCGTAAAGATTTTAGAGGCTCGGTTCCCGAGCTGCGTTAATAAATCAGAAAAGATCGTGAAATCAAGATTGAAAAACAGAGTCTGGAATGATATACGCAGACCCTGGTCAGAATTCAGGGCCCGCCAATCTTCTACTCATCCTTTTGTTGGCCGCTCAGATGAGTTTAACAAGGAGAATAGCAGATGCTGCCCCTTTTCCCGATGAAGTTATAACGGCGACCAGGACGAGACCCCAGCAGACCCCCTCCTAGAAGACTGGTGGGCAACCCTTGGCCAAAACCACCAGGAGCACATGGGTTGTAGCCTCCAACAGCGACGGGATCACAGCTGGCGGACAGGATGGGACCAGGGATGGTGACCACAACTGCAGGTGGCTGGATGGTCACCTCAGATGCTGGGATCTGGTTGATGCAGGAAGGGATGATGCCCTCCAAGGTGCCCAAGCTGCTTGAAGACTCACCGAAGGGGGAGGGGGAGAGACCCAAGCTTCTGGGGGCCAGGCCTCCCAAACCGGCAGATCCAAACCCAACAGTTGGGGCTGAGGCACAAGAGGGGACGGCACAGGAAGGTCCACAGAAAGCCATGGTGGTGAAGTGATGAAGATGAGCTGAAAGAACCGAAGAAGAGAACCATGGTTACAATATGCATGAAGGCCATGATCATCTGTAGATCTCTTGGCCAACCCAATCCAATACCCTTGTTCAATGCTTCTTCACTTCTCTTTGGGATCCCTTCCTGGGGGGTTTTTTCCCTACCCTTTCTCACAGTTTTTGCACACTTGGAGCCCAAAGTCTAGCACATTAGTGGGCCAAGAGAAAGTCCAAAGCAAAACACTAAAGGGCACCACTTATATACCGCGTTTCCCCAAAAATAAGACATCCCCTGATAATAAGCCCAATCGGGCTTTTGAGCGCATGTACTAAAATAAGCCCCCACTGAAAATAAGCCCTCCCTGAAAATATTTAACCACATTTTCAGATGGTCCCCACTATTTCCTCTGGTTAGGGTTAGAGCTAGAAATCAGGTAAGACAGCAAGAGGAGCCCCGTCTTGCTCCACGCGCCCCAAAATAATAAGAAGTTAGTTGCAAAAAAAAAATTCAGCCAAGGTTCGTTAGACTTGCTGTGCTCAAGACAAACTTACCTGATTCAGGTGAGGTTCTGAAGCTGTTTGAGAACTGCAGAGGGTCTAACGTCTTATATACGCCTTCAAATCCCTCCCCTTGGCCTTCATTAATTCATAATTATCCCATCTCTCATATTCTGCTGGATTCATCAAGGCCCCAATTATTTTAATCACCCCCAACATTTTCATTGTCATCAGCTCAAAGCTTTGTGAATCACAAAAATTAGCTTCCTTTAATTTCTCCCTCCCTCCCTCTCTCTCTCTCTCTTTTCATAAAGTTTCTTTTAGGATGGCATTTCAATCCCCACCTGGAGCTAAGAGTCCATTCTACCGTGCGTAACATTTTCCCTTCTGAGTTTAAAGTATTTTAATTGCAAAACAATGCTTTTTTTTTTTGCTTTCTTTTCTTGCGTTGGAGGACAAAATGTTCAACACGAGGAGCCCAACATAGAGGTGAAATCTACTTACCTTCCCTACTTCTCCGGAAATGCAATTTTGGACTCTCTGCACATGTGGAAAGCATGCGCAGAGGGTAAAAAACAGGTTACTTCTTGGTTAAAGACAGGAAGTAATGATATACGGGTGAGTGAGCAGAGCCTTGCGCCGTCACCGCCGCTGCTACCGATTCTCCAAACCATCTTCCACCCTCACTACCTCTTCGCCCGAACCACCTGCTGCCGCCCCTACCGATTCAGCTGAACCGGTCCAAACCGATAGCATTTCACTCCTGGCCCAACATGACTCATAAAAAAAAGGATAAAGAGGTTTTTACTGGAAGAAACCAACTTAAAATTGGGCATCTGAATTAACCTCGATTCTGGGTTTGCCCAGCCTAAACAGACTGGGTTTGAGAGGTCCTTGGTGCTCCCTCAGCTTGGTTGTTTTCCTGCAGATGTTTCATTACCCAAACTAGGGAACATCACCGGCATTGACGATGTAGCCCAGTTGGGTTATGAAACATCTGCAGCGGAGGTGGGATTCATTTACCTTCCCCACTGGTTCGCAAATGTGAGCACGCACACGCGGGCGGTCGCTTCTCTCGCATGCGCCACCTCTGCACATGGACACAGCCTTCCGCGCGCATGCAGCTGCTCATGCATTACGTCCGGGTGGGTTGGCGGAGCATCCCACAGTTGCTACTACCGGTTCGCCTGAACCTCACAGAACCGGCTGAAATCCACCACTGGGATCATCCTCATCCTCCTCCCTGAAAACCTCCCTCCCTTCTGGCCCTGATGATGTTACCTAGTTGGGTCATGAAATGTCTGAGAAAACCACCAAGCTCAGAGAGCACCAAGACTCCACAGTCTTCCTCCTCCTCCTCCTCCTCCTCCTCCTCCTCCTCCTCCTCCTCCTCCTCTCCACAAACCTCATTCCTTTCTAGCCCTGATGATGTTCCGTAGATGGTTCATGAAACGTCTTCAAGGAAGCCACCAAGCTCAGAGAGCACCAAGGACCCCACAGTCTTCCTCCTCCTCCTCCTCCTCCTCCTCCTCCTCCTCCTCCTCCTCCTCCTCTCCCCATAAACCCCATTCCTTTCTAGCCCTGACGATGTTCCCTAGATGGTTCATGAAACGTCTTCAAGGAAGCCACCAAGCTCAGAGAGGACCAAGGACCCCACAGTTCAACCCCGAGCTGCAAAGATTCACCTGTATTGGATTTGCTAAGGGTTTGCTAAGCAAGCATAACACTCAATGCGTTTAAACGAAAAACAAAACTAGGAAAATAATCCAGGTCAGCTGAAATATACGCGGATGATACCTACAAACTTGGCTAGGAATTCCGTGCAATTTAAGCTCAGGTTTCGTCTTTTTCTCATGGGTTGCTGAGACATCAGTTTGGGCTTCCAAGAGATGGACAATGGGCAATTAAAGTTGATTTTTTTTTTCAGACTAGCCTTTATCCCTTCGCAGAAAGAATTCAGATGAGCTCGGCTTTCAGAAATACTTTGATCTTTGCAAAAAAAAAAAAAAAAGGCTTGAAAAATTCAAAACGTCCTTGATTGCAAGCATTCTGGGTAGGTTTCATTATTATTTCTTAAAAGTTAACCATAAACCACAAGGAAGGCGAAGGTTTCAGGGTAATCGCTGCCTGAAACCTGAGATCTTTACCACAAGTTTATACAAATGAATTTTTTTTTTTTTTGAGAAGTTTCCTCTGTTTAATTCTTATTTTTTTGGAGACGGAAATCCACCATCCTTCCTGTAAACATATGAGTTCAGAAAAAGTCATTTTTAGCCTGTCTTTGAGAAATGTGCTGAATCATATTATTTAAACCAGCATCTTTCTTTGACTGACTTCCTCATATTATCAATCTTAACCATAGTTTGTGAGTTCGTGGGGGCTACATCCTCAGAGTTTGATTCATTTAGAATCCGGTGCAGAGATTGTGGGTGAATTTCATGACCAGGTTAGATGAAATGGGGCAAATGCAAGCAGGGGGGAAAAAATTGACTGTGGACAAGCTGCTTAGTTGATCTCCAGATTAATGTTGAGAAAATAATCCATGGTTTTTGGGGACAAAAAATGGAAGGTAGATCGATGGATGGGAGGGAGGGAGGGAGAAGGAAGGAAAGAAGGAAGAAGGAAGAAGGGGAGGGAGGGAGGGAGGGAGGGAGGGAGGAAGGAAGGAAGGAAGGGAACGGGAGGGAGGGAGGGAGATAGGGAGGGAGAGGGATGGAGAGACAGAAAAAGAAAGGGAGGGAGGGAGGGAGAGAAGGAGAGAGGGAGGAAGGAAGGAAGGAAGGAAGGAAGGAAGGAAGGAAGGAAGGAAGGAGGAAGGAAGGAAAAGGGAGGGAGCAAGGGAGATAGGGAGGGAGAGGGACAGAGGGACAGAAGAAGAAAGGGAGGGAGGGAAGGAGAGAGGGAGGGCGGAAGGGAGGAAGGATGTTGGAATGAGGAGAAAGAAGGAAGAAGATGGAAGGAAGGAAGGAAGGAAGGAAGGAAGGAAGGAAGGAAGGAAGGAAGGAAGGCAGGAGAACAAAGTTTGAAAATGTAAGCTTCTAAGAAACTGGAAACGGGATTATTAAAGAAGCCAAATTTGTCCTGAATCTTCACGGTTATTAAAGCAATTTGTTATAAGTGATGCTGATGATACAATTTGCTAGTGCCTAATTAAAGCTTCAGGCCTCATCAAGGCCATGGGGGAGGAGACCTCTGAGAGTATATAAGCCCATGCTTCGGACTGTCTTCTCAAACAGCTTCACCAGAACCTCTCAGCTTCTCAGCTTCCAAAACAGGTAAGGTTGAGTTGAGGTGAGTCTGCTGGAAGAAGAGAAACATCTTCTTCTCCCAATTTGGTAGGGCTTTCAACAAAAGTTCTCTCTGCTCTTTGGGTGGGTGATGGAGACAGGCCTGGAAGCTAGCTGAGACCTGGTCCATGGAGAACATGACTAGGTTCCTTCTCCATGGACGTTGCAAAATTAATTATAATATAACCATGGTTGTTCTCTTGGGTTCTTTCAGGTCATCTCTCCACCAACATGGCTCTCTGTGGACCATCCTGTGCCGTCCCCTCTTGTGCCTCCATCCCAACCGTTGGGTTTGGATCTGCCGGTTTGGGAGCCTTGGCCCCCAGAGGCCTGGGTCTCTCACCCTTCTCCTTGGGTGAATCTGCAAGCGGCCTGGGCACCTTGGCCGGAGTCGCCCCCTCCTGCATCAACCAGGTCCCAGCATCTGAGGTGACCATCCAGCCACCTGCAGTTATAGTCACCATCCCTGGTCCCATCCTCTCCGCCAGCTGTGAACCCGTCGCCGTCGGAGGCAACGCCCCATGTGCTCCTGGCGGTTTTGGCCAAGGGTTGCCCACCGGTCTCCTAGGAGGAGGCCAACCTCGCCTGGGCTCCCGTTATGGATTTGTCGGTAACCGGGGCAGCATCTGTTATACCCCTTGTTAAACTCACCCGGACGGTCAAAAAACAAAACAAAACAGGAAGACAGAGGACCTGAAAGGATCAAAGGCAGAGGATTTGGTGCCGAGGAGAACATCTACTAGAGGTTCCTCACTCCATATCATCATCACTCATCTTTCCTTAACCTGAATCTATTCTTTTCTCTCCCGGTTTTTTTTTTTAAGCAAGTGCTTTTCTGGTGATTGTTTATTCACAGCTTTTTTTTTTTCCATGACACACATTTTAAAGGAACCTCAGCTTGTTGTGCTTCTCCTGGTGAATCACGCAGGATGAAAGAGACAACCGTTTTTGGCAAGAGAAATCTCCTGGTTTTTCTTTTTTTGCTCCACTGCAAAATCTCCAAAGGGAAATTGTTCAATGTGTCTCCCTCTCTATGCTTTTCTCCTTCCCACACTGTGTTTTAAGAATATGTTTCTTTCACCCTTCCTTCCTAATAAAAGGTTGCATCTTAATTTTGGTCCCTTCAGTTTCTTTTTTAACAACGTCGAGATAGTAGTCCCTGACTTACAACAGTTCATTTAATGACCATTCAAAGTTGCAATGCCAAAGAGAAAAGTGACTTACGGTGGTTTTCCACACTTATGACCGTTGCGGCATCCCCCCCACTGTCACATCTTCAAAATTCAGACACTTGGCAACTGACCCGGATTTATGATGGCTGCAATGGCCTGGGATCATCTTTTGCAACCTTCAATTTTCAGTGGGGAAGCTGGATTTGCTTAACAACTGGGTGACTCGCTTAACAACTGCAGTTGTTTAATGAAGAGAAGGACTAGGGGAGACATGGTAGCAGTCTTCCAGTATCTCAGGGGCTGCCCCAAAGAAGGGGGAGTCAAGCTATTCTCCAAAGCACCAGAGGGTAGGACAAGAAGCAATGGGTGGAAACTAATCAAGGAGAGAAGCAACTTAGAACTAAGGAGAAATTTCCTGACAGTTAGAACAATTAATCAGTGGAACAACTTGCCTGCAGAAGTTGTGAATGCTCCAACACTGGAAGTTTTTAAGAAGATGTTGGATAACCATTTGTCTGCAGTGGTGTAGGGTTTCCTAACTAAGGAGGGGGTTGGACTACAAGGCCTCCCAGTTGGGGTCCCTTCCAACTCTGTTATTCTATTCTATTCTATTCTATTCTATTCTATTCTATTCTATTCTATTCTACTCTACTCTACTCTACTCTACTCTACTCTACTCTACTCTACTCTACTCTACTCTACTCTACTCTACTCTACCCTACTCTACTCTACTCCATTCCATTCCATTCCATTCTATTCTATTCTATTCTATTCTATTCTATTCTATTCTATTCTATTCTATTCTATTCTATTCTATTCTATTCTATTCTATTCTATTGGCATTTGGAAGGTTGAAGTGGGGCACCCAATGTCCATGCAGAGATGTTAAGTTTTCCATCTGGGATCAGGTTGAATATAACTTGATTGATCTTCTAATTTATTTATCAGATTCCTATAGCCATCCATCTCAATCAATATGCAAATATAGACCCTGACAGACAACCTTAAATACATATATATATAGAGAGAGAGAAAAAACAGAAGTTATGATGCTGCAACAAGCTTTATTGTGAAAGAGTGTGAGATCAAAAGGCAATACATGTGTGCTAAGGAACAATGTACACAAGGCAGAAATGGACAATATTGTTCTGTTGCGTTTTTTTTTTTCACAGCTATTCAAAGGAGGGGATTTCTAACCAGGTTACAAACAGTGTATTTGAAATGAGTAAAGGGGGAGTAAATTGGGGAGAGAACTTTCCAGCTTTCCGTAGCTCCGTGGAGCTATCTTCGGCACAAACTGGAAATGATGGAGCTGGAAGAACTTAGCAAGCATCACATAGACCGAGAACAACACAACAGGCCAAAATGGAGATCTCGTTTTCCTTTCCAGGTGATTCCACACCATGGTGGGATCCGGTTAAGCCTTCACAAGGTTCTCAGTTGTACGTCAGGCATTTGCGGCTGTATCTTCTCCAACCTCCGTAGTTTCCGTAATTTCCGTAGCCCAAGGATCCAAGCCGGCCGTACACCCCGTAGGAGTTCAGCGGGTGGGTGTAACTACATGGGGACACTTGGCCCACCGAGACAGGATCGTGAGTGGAGGATATCACGGGACCTGGGATGGACACCACCGAAGCCGGAGGTTGGATGATGAGTTCCGATCCGGTGAGTTGGCTGGCACAATTGACGTGGCCACTGGTGTAGTAGTTGGATGGAAGACTGGTGAGGGCGCCGGATCCATACGATGAGACCAGGGCATAGGATCCACTATTGGAAGCATAAGGCGTGTAGGAGACGGAGCCACAATAAGACATCTTGGGGGTCTTCTGGAAGGCAGGCGATGCAAAAGAAGAAAAAAGAGAGAGAGCAGTGAAGACCAAGATGGAAAGGGTGAGAAGTAGTGAACCTAATTGAGGAATTACCAAGGAGAAAACCAAACTCCCACTCCCACTGTAGAAATACAGAACAAACCCCACTCCCTTCTAGCACTGATGACATTCCCTAGTTGGCTCATGAAACATCAGCAAGCAAACAACCAACTCAGAGAGCACCAAGGAAACCACATTAGAAACTGATTAGAAACTGATCCAAATTAATCTGATGATGATAAACTAGAATTTTGTTGACTCTTCTGACACCTCCATCTCCCTTCCAATCTTGGATGCCTTCTATGTCTCTTTCTACTTTTTATTTTATTCCCTTGATAATGACAGTAGCCCGTCTCCTGATGATGGTGTCTAAGACCTTGATAAAGCTTGATTTGATTTGACAGATAAAATCAGAGTTGGGATAAATGAGAATGGAAAGATCTTGAGATCCTGAAGCTTCCAACTGGAGAGACTTCTGATCCAACCAGCTTGGGATTTCTTGATGTTCTTCAGTAGGACATAAAACCTCTTAACCCCCACCATAAAAATTTTCATGGACAGGAGAGATGCACACAGCGAGAACTATGATTTACCTTCCCCTTTATGATGGTCTAGGACCAGGATAAAGCTTGATTTGATGGATGAAATCAGAGATGCAACAAATGGCCCTGAAAAGTTCTTGAGATCTTGAAGCCTCCAAATGTAGCCTCCCAGAGAGACTTCGGATCCAATCCGCCTGGGATCTCTTGATGTTCTTCACAAGAGATCCCAGGTAAACCTCTTAACCTCCATGGACGATGGAGCTAACAGAGACACGGAGAAAGCCAACCCAACCTCCTGCTAGAAGAGATGGATTTTGAATTTAGCTTACCTGGTTCTCGGAGGAACAGAACGGAGAAGGTGATAGGAAGCCGACGCTTACTGTGAAAAGTCTCCTGGCTTTCAAGTCCTTTTATACCCTTCTCCTGACCTCGCATGGGGTGGGAGATGGGAGCGCCAATCCCCTCCCACACAGGACTTCCTTAATGAGAGGACAGGAGGAGAGATGAAACGAATTATCAAATCATTTTCGATTTTGTTTACCTCTCTGACCATTTGGCATCCGTTTGGATTAGTTACACCGGGTTACATCAATCCAGAAATGTTACACCCTGAAGACAGGCTGATCTTGCAACAACTGAAACCGCTTCTATTGTGGTGCCAAAGTTGATGTCCAAACCTTTTTTGGTTCTTGCAGCAATAGAATCAAGAGTGAAGTTTCGGGGACTCGCCGATCTCTCGCGCTGGCCAAGTTTGAGGCAGCTAGACTTCCCTCCCCAATACCAACATAAGCAATATTGCTTATGGTGAAATCCGTGGGGAGTTTTGCACTTGTTTTGGAAGAACAAGAGGGGAAAAAATCCCCAAGCTGGTTATATCAAACATTCTTAAGAAGATGGGCCTCAAGCCAAGGTTTCTAAGGACTATCGAATCCTGCTTACTGCAGAATGTCAGCTGATTTTGGGGGAAGGCATATGGGAGATACTTCTAAAGAGAAATAAATAATTTCCAGAAGTTGAAGAAGCCAATGAGTATTGTGTTTAAATTTCCAGCCAGTTGACTTATAAGTCATTAAGTCCGCTTAAGTTCAAGGACGTTTAAAATTCCTTCCTTCCTTCCTTCCTTCCTTCCTTCCTTCCTTCCTTCCTTCCTTCCTTCCTTCCTTCTTATTATCCTTTGTTCCTTTATTCATTCCTTCTTTCCTTTCTTCCTCCCTCCCTCCCTCCTTTCTTGTCTCCTTCCTTTCTTCTCTATTCCTTCTTTTCTCCATTCTTGTTCTCCTCCCTTCCTTCTCTATTCCTTTCTTCCTCCATTCTTGTTCTCCTTCCTTCATTCCTTCATTTCTTTATTCTTTCCTTCTTTCCTTTCTTCCTTTTCTTCCTCCCTCCCTCCCTTCTTATTCTCCTTCCTTTCTTCTCTATTCCTTCTTTTCTCCATTCTTGTTCTCCTCCCTTCCTTCTCTATTCCTTCCTTCCCCATTCTTGTTCTCCTCCATTCATTCTTTCATTCCTTTATTCTTTCCTTCTTTCCTTTGTTCCCTTTCCTCCTCCCTCCCTCCCTCCTTTCTTGTTCTCCTTCCTTTCTTCTCTATTCCTTCTTTTCTCCATTCTTGTTCTCCTCCTTTCCTTCTTTATTCCTTCCTTCCTCCATTCTTGTTCTCATTAATTCATTAATTCATTCCTTTATTCTTCCCTTCTTTCCTTTCTTCCTCCATCCCTCCCTCAATTCTTGTTCTCCTTCCTTCTTTCTCTATTCCTTCCTTCCTTCCTTCCTTCCTTCCTTCCTTCCTTTCTCTCTCTCTCTTTCCTCCCTCCCTCCCTTCTTTCCAATAGACCGAGATAACTCTTTCCTCTGAGTGAGCCAAAATGTTCCTTTTCTTGGTCCTCTAGGACACCATCTCAAGCTGTTGGAATCCAGCCTTGGAGCAACTGGATTGACGTCACATGACCCACGCTGACCCAGATCATTGAATTTTCTAGCTTGTCCCAATGCGTGGGGCCATACACAAACCACACCTCTTCACATAGCTTTGCATTTTGCCAGAAGGAAACCTAAGATTAATATGGGTGCTAAAGGGCCACTCATCCTATTTCCTTCCTTACATTCATGGATTACCCAAAGTGTAGTATTGGATCAGGTTAAAACAAAAATATGATCAAGTTCTTCTAGAGTCCAGCAGGGGGAGCTGCTGGGCCTTCTGAGCAACCATTCCCATCGTTCTCAGCCAATGAGGTTGATGGAAGTTGGAATCCCTTTGCATTTTGACAGTACAGATTCTCCCCTTCTGAGTAGATTCATTTACACCAGGGATTAGCAACCTGTGGCTCTGGAGCCGCATGTGGCTCTTTCACCCCTCTGCTGCGGCTCCCTCTCACACAAAATATGCATCATAACTGCCAATGTGCGACACCCACCAGCACGCAATTTATTGAGCTTTTCAATCCCCGGTAGGCCAACCATGGATAAATCCAAGAAAAGAAAAGTTTCAGAAGAAAATAGAACATTTATTTCAATTACAGATGCTAGTTTTGTGGCCCCTCAAGAAATAGTCAGGCACGGGAAGGGTTTTGTGGCTCCCGGTGTTTTCTTTTCTGTGGGAAACGAGTCCAAATGGCTCTTTGAGTGTTGAAGGTTGCAGATCCCTGATTTACACATTCAATGCTTCCCACCCCATGAATTGATAAATAACACTTCTTTACGGCAAGCCCATAAATCTCTGATCTGAAGCAGATCTGCTCTTGGAGAAGAAACTTGTCATTTGCAAGTAATTAAACAACTGGATGTGAAAAAGCTTCGTTGGGAAAGTGTCAATCAATGGAGAATATCTCCAGGGGAAATAAATGCTTGTTTTGACTTTCTTTCTTTCTTTCTTTTTTTGGCACAACGATGAAGGTGTTTGCAAAGCTCTGGACCCAAAATTTTACACCTGGAATTTTAGAATTCCTGGAACTTCAGGCCAAGGAAATGGATTAGAAGCTTTCAGGGAAGTCCCCAACAACAGAAGCTTGCTAGGGAAGTCCTCATGCAACCCAAGTTCTCCATTCTTTGGAGAGGTCAACAAAGCCATCACAAGGACACTGGGAGGGCCTTCCTATGAACGATGGGCCATACCGGGACATAACTAAGCCTATTAAACAAGGATTACAAGGGATAATGTAAAAGAGCGTGGGAAAATGCCGAGTACAAGACTTGTGGGCAAACAGCCACTGAGATCTTATCAAGTCTTTCTCCCGTGGCCTCGGGGGAAGGTGAGTCTCTCTTCAGAAACACCCAACCAAAACCACAGTGGCTACATTTTTGCCCCCGTTCCAGCCCTTACTCAGAAGCACCTCGTGTTCTAAGAAAGGATTGTAGGCCACGGATACCGCTTGAGGTCAGATGTGGGACTGAAGCTGCCCCATCCTTGAAGGGGTGAACCTCAAAGCCTGCTCCCCTCCACTACGAAACTGGAATACTCCGCTGTGAATAATGCCTTGACCAAAGATTCCATTTAGATATCTCCAACCTTGAACTTTCAAGCCCATCTTCTTCCTTTCGGGATCTTCTGTGGTCCATAAATGAGGGCAAATTATGGATGTTTTTTTTCAATTATGTAGAGAAAACTGAAGCCACAGTGAGATCCAACCACAATTATTGCTGACCGAACTTACAACTTCTTAAGAATGGAAAACCGGAGGTGGTGGAAATGTTAAGCAAAAGATGTTGTCCTTTGAGCAATGTGCTGGACTAGGAGACCGACTAGCAGATCCACGAAAAGGCCCATTAAAAGACCCTTTCCTTTGATACGATCCACTTTTTTTTTTTTACACTAAGCTACATTTGACTTGATTTATGGAAGCAAGAACCATCTGCCAGTGCTTCCAACCACATGACTTGACTAAAACCATGGAAAGAGGGGAATTCTTGAGCCACTCTCTTAGGGGTAAGAATAACATGGGTCCGACGTGTCTCTGCTTTTGATTATTGTGTTGGGCAAAAATGGAAGGACACCAGAACACCAGTTATTAAGGATGCAAAGTTGAAGTTTTAATGGATGATAAAACAGAACTCGAATGCAAATTGAGTCAAAGCAAATTAAACATTGGAAGCAAGCAAAGAACATAGGATACGGGATAAGAGAAAGTCTAAAAATATGGCATAAGTAAGAACCAATGAAAAGAACTTCAGGAGTTGAAATAGTTCCTACGCGTTCTCACCATTTCTGAGATACTTAGCATGGCTTTCTAATTAATTTTTCCAATTTCCCTTTTTTTTTTTTTTTAATAAGGTCCACTTTTGCCAGAAGATGACTTTTGGCCACTGTCAGAACATGACCCAATCCCATTATGATATCTTCTGCTAGTTCTGTAGCCATAACCTGGAGAGGCAAATTCTCCACAGCTAAGGGCACAGGGAGAATTTTGAGTTATAGCAATGGGTTCAGTGCTGGCACTAAGAATGGGTCCTGGAATGGTCAGAGCAACCGGGGGAGGTTGGATGACCACTTCCGAAGATGGAATTTGAGAGACGCAGGACACGTTGATGCCACAGAGCCTGGAACTGAAGCTGCCGTAGTCCCGAAAGGCCATCTTGCAACAAGGAGGAAAGACCTGAAGAAGAAGAAGAAGAAGACAGTTAGGAATGTGAGATCTTCCAGAAATAATTGGAAGAAGACTAATCTTTTCAATAGAAGTGAATCTATGAAGTTCAAGGTTGAACTATGGAGTCCTTGGAAGGACTCCATAGTTGAAGGAAGGAAGGAAGGAAGGAAGGAAGGAAGGAAGGAAGGAAGGAAGGAAGGAAGGAAGGAAGGAAGGAAGGAAGGAAGGAAGGAAGGAATAGAATCCATCAAAAAATCCAGCAAAACATATCAATCATTTGGGGTCTTTCTATGAAAGATAGATGTGAATCTCCCTAAACCAAAATGAACCATACATGCTTCACAAATCCAAATTGACTTACCAAATTCTCCAAGGCGAAGATCAGGATGGAGTCGCTGGTGAGTTAGCGAGGATGCTAAAAGCGATTTCCAGTAAAGGACATTTTATACCTTCTCTTGAGAGCGTGCGATGACGAAGCCTGAAATTACAGATCATTTCAAACCTGCTGTCCACGCAAGACATCCAAATTGTTCTATTGACGAACTAGTGTGATGTTTAGTATTCTAATGATCTAACACAACTACAGGTTGAAGGACAACATGTTATTTTTTCCCCCTTCATTGGCGTGACAATCAGACAAAGAAAACTTAGGTCTCCTTCATTACATGGGTGTCTCCTGTCTGGTCTGGATTGTCCCCTCCTATTGAGGGTGTCATGCTGAAATTTTGGGTGATGTTGTAAGTGAGGAATCTCAAAATATGTTCTCCGCATTGAATTGTTGGAAAAGAGTCCAGTTCTTTG